AGTGCTTCCACTGTCTGTAGCTAGATGAGGCTGCCTGACAGGGAAAGTACTAGCAAGCCCACTCAGCCCACAGACCTAAAGCCTGGTCTCCAACAGCGGTATCAGTAACAAAGATGATATGTTTAGCTGTTTTGATCTCTGTCCAACTCCTACAACTATAGCTCAGTTGGTTTACTCATTGGATAAGTGAGGAAGGGAGTCATCTGAATCCCAAAACTCTGCAATACCTCTTGATTAGGTTATTTTGTTCAAAGTTTTTCCATGTCTAGCTTCTCAATATATAAAAACCATTTTCCAGGACAAACAAATGTTTCTATGGGTGAGCTGGTATAATCACTCAGAAGTACTAACATACCTCCCTGCTTCCTGGCATTAGCTAGCAGGGGCTGCCATCAAGCTTGTATTTGAGGAGCAACATTCATAGTTCTCTGAAAAAGCTCCATTTTGGAGTAACTATTATGAAGTAGCTAATGGGGGAACCAGGTCCTGAAGATAACAATAATGATAGTGATAGCTAGCATTTATTGAGTACATGCCACATACCAGCCAATTTTCTAAGCACCTTCATTTAATCCTCTCATCAACCTGAGGGTAGGTTATGTACTGTTATTGTTCTGATTTTACAGATGGGACAACAGAGGCACAGTGCTGTCAAGTAGCTTGCTAGTAGGAAAGCCAGAAGTTAGACCCAGACAATCTGGCTCTGGAGCTGCGACTCTTACCCACTACCATATGCTGCTCCTGACTCCATTAGAACAGTCACTCTGATTGCCTTGAATTTTAGCTTCCAGAGTTAGGGGTCCAGTCTTAGATACTGGATGTCAAGTGACCAGAGAGTGTTGCACCCAATTCAGACATGCAACCTCTAGCTGTCCAAAACTTAGAATTTCTAACTTGATTTATCACAGCTTATCAGCAAATTTTAAGCAAGGAAAGGAGCTCACCTGAGATTGTCAATTAGCTGGCACATTCAGAAGTTACTCATCTCTAGGTAAGGCCACAGCCCAGGATCTGGCAAGGAGGAGGTGCCAGTAAAATATGGTTGGAATTAATGAATACATGAATTTAGTTTGGATTCAACATTTTGTACTAAATGGTACACACTGAATCTCAACTCAATGTGATGAAGCTCTCACTATGATATTGTAAAGTCCAGGGACTTCCCATGAGCTAATTTAGCTCATCTGGTGGGTGTGTAGGGATCTGTTCCTCCCTCACTGCTGGGTCTTCCCAGGTTCCTCATCCACACAATGGGAACAATATTACCCACTCATAGGTTTATTGAAAGAATATGATATAATTACGCTAAAGTGTTTTGTAAATCCTTAAAAAGCATACAGCTCTAAGGTGTTATTGCCCCTTGATGTTTTGCTTCATCTGTTCTTTAACTCAACAAATGTTAATTATGCCTAATAAACCTATGGGGACAGAGTCCTTGGCTCTGAGGACTCAAAGATGTTCAGTGGATTCTTTCCATGCTTCCTCTGACTGGAATATTCATTTCAGGTTTCTGTGAGGCAACTGTTTGGGCTTTCTGCTGCCTGTGGAAGGTGGGGACGGAGCATTGGGTTGGAAAATACTGCTTCATTCTTGAGAGACAGAGTATAGTCTCACCTGGCAAGGCATGGGGAAAGGAACCAATAATCGACAGGAGAAAGTACAAATGGGGGTCTTAAGGAAGGTGGTTCTGGCTGGCATTAACCACTGTTTGCCTGGCCTATGTGTGAGTTCTGATAATAATGCATTCGCTATCCCTTTCTTTGCTCATGCTAGCCTCTCTGCCTGGGGAGGGGTGGGGTGGGGCGCTGCCTCCACTCCTGTCTGTCAGAATGTTCCACGAAGCCTTTCCTCAACTACCAACCCAGTGTACTCTATTTTCTCCCTCTTTTGCATTCCCAAAACACTTTGATAATAAGTCTCTTAGGATGCTTGTTCTATTCTGCCTCTACTAAACCAGAAAATCCTGGAAGAAAAGAGGTTTTTACTGATTTTAATATCCCCTACAGTATATATCTCAGAGGCGAATTGGTCTGCCTGGATGCAAATCCTAGCTCCTCTGCTTACTAACTCTGTGGCCTGGAGCAGAGTTACTGAACCTCCCTGGGCCTCACTGTCCTCATCTATAAAGTGGGGATAAGAACAGGACTTACACTATAGAATTTCTGTGAGAGTTAAATAAAATATTGCATGTAAAAGCTCTTGGGATACTGCTGAACATATAGTAAACCCTCACTAAAAGTTGGCTACTGGTATTACAAGGGGCCCTGGTGGCACAGTGGTTAAGCGTTCGGCTGCTAACTGAAAGATCAGCAGTTTGAACCCACCAGCTGGTCCGCGGGAGAAAGATGTGACAGTCTGCTTCCCTAAAGATTGCAGTCTTAAACCCTATGGGGCAGTTCTGCTCTGTCCTATGGGGTCTCTATGAGTTGGAATTGACTCAATGGCAACGGGTTTGGTTTTTGGTTTTATTGGTATTCTATGCACCTACAACTTGAACATAAGTTTTTGGATCAACTAGGAATCAGATTCCCTGGGAGATACTGGAGCACTCGGTTTGAGGAGGGCTAATCTCAAAGAGTCATGGTGCAGGTGGGCCCCATACAGCACCTCTGACAAAAAGGTGACCAGAGACTTGTAGGGCTGTTACTGAAGCTGTCTTGCTCTTTCTTTGTCAAAATTATTACTGAGCCTGGTAGTGCAATGGTTAAGCGCTTGGCTGCTAACCTAAAGGTCAGCAGTAGGAACCCACCACTGGCTCCGTGGGAGAAAAGACCTGGCAATCTGCTCCCGTATGATTACAGCCTAGGAGACCCTATAGGACAGTTTTACTCTGCCCCATAGGTTCTCTATGAGTTGGAATCGACTCCACACCACACAGCAACAACAACCCTTGAAAACGGGACTACCTTTCACGCATGATGATGCATAGGCCGAACATAAATTCCACCCGTGCCCTTGCCAGTTCTGCTCCTTTGAGCAAATGAGAACGCCAAGGCTAAACCGTGGGGCAGGGAGAGCATGGATGAGACTAGGGCAGTGCAGAGAGCAAGGAGCGGGAAAACAGAAACATGATTCAGAGAGCATCAAAGAAAAAGGTAGCAACGGAGGAGACGGGTGGAGGCAGGGAAGGTGGGAAGGGAGAAGTCCCAGTTTCGAGGGAGGAGAGATAGAACGGTCAGCCCAGGACACTCTGGTTTACAGTTCTTGGTTGAGCCTCTAGAAGGGAAGCCACTGCTCACGAGAGGACCCAGCCGCCAGGTGGCGGTAGTGCCTCAGTCACATGCTCTGAGCCAGCGGTCTGCAATGAGTCCCCCCTTGTTTACCAAAGTACAGCTGTTAACACAGCTGAGCTCGATATTGAACAGTAACATTGGATCATTCTTACTAGGAGAGTTTTGAAGAAAAGCAGCTCTAGGTTCAAATAGGTGTCTTTCTCTTTATTTTGTAACTGCTATCAATCGCAGATTATTAGAATGAGAGAATTCTGGATTTTGTTTAAAATGCTCCTTTTAAGCTCAAGGGAGGAGAGGCACAGCCCCAAAGAACATCAAGTACAGTGCTGTAGTGCTTATGCCTTTATCCATTGAAATTTAAATGTGGGAAATAAGACCAGGGTGAATTTTCTAAAGAAAAGTATTTCCCCCTTTAAAATAGGGATGGGTAATTTTTGGTTTCAAGACTGAAGTACACTCTTGACAAGTTCTTTATATTGGATTTGCTCTGGTCTCACTGTGGCAAGTCAGAAAACGATTTCTTTCTCAACAGGGTTCTGTGACTCTTTCATTCAGAGTTGTTGAAGAGCCTTGACAATGCAAAGCCATTGACTCTTTTAGGGGCATGCCAATTGTTTTTTGTTTTTAGTTCTGTTTTATCTCAATTTGGACAAAACTACACACACAAACACACACCCAGACCCTAAATTTGAGCTGGAAATTTAACAGCTTAAGACAATGAAATGAGTGGATTGATTCATCTCTAGGAACTTGAGAATGAGACATTCTAATATTTTAAAAAACAATGGTAAGGAAATTTCACAGATTTTAAATATCAGTTGTACATTTAGGCATAGCTAGAAAATTATTAAGCTAATGTTTCAAAATAAATTGCTAAAATTTTAGTCTATTCTTTACAGACGTACAAATCCTTCAGGATTTAATAAAAAACTTTTGTTTTAAAATAAAATTTGAAATAAAGTTACATAAGCTGTTTCCCAGTATAGAAAGCTGCCAGAATTCTAAAACTGAATTGTGATACCTGATTTTTTCCAAATCTCAAATGCACAGCAAAATAGAATGATTTATCTCTGAAAAAGACAAACTACTCAGTCTCTGAATTTTTCAGTTATCTTTTTCTGCTTTCTATTCAATCTTGTTTCCTTGCTCAGTCAGCCCTCGCTTTGTCTTTTCTCGTTTTTCTTCCTTACACTCTCCTATATCATTTTCTTTTTTTCTTGCTTATTTTTTAATTTTGTTTTTCTTTTAACCATTTTCTCTTTTTTTCATTTTCCTGCTTCTTTTATTTTTTTCTGTTTTGTCAGTTTCCTCCTTCTACTTCACATGTTCTCTTTTCCCTTCTTACCTTGCCTTCTCCCTGCTTGTAACTGATCATAATAGGGAATTAAATTAGTGCATATAAATATTTCCAATTACCTTATTTATTGAGTACAGTTTTACATTTTAATGTTAATTATCAAAGCAAGACAATAGAATTTTATATGTTTCTTTCAAAAATGGTAAATTAAGTGACAATGAGCTTATATGATCTCTTCCACCCTTGGTTATGTTGTGATGGTCAAGAGTTATGTGAAGTAGACACACAGAACAAGAGGGAGGCTTTGATTCAGGATAAATAGCATAAGGGTGGGCAAGATTTCAGCTATCTCACTTTCTTTCCCTAAGACTGTCCTAGCTCGTTTGTAGTGGATGGGTGAGAAAACATAGAAGACTTTAAACCTATCTTCCCTTCTCAAGTATTTTTTTGTCATTTTTTTTTTAAAATAGGCTGATTTGCTTCTTCTATCAAGTAGTGAGCCACATGGCCTCTGTTCTATTGAAACTGCTGAGCTCGATGGGTAAGTTATTAAAACTAGAATAATTTATCAGTTTGGCTTTTAATTTATTTAAAAGAAATGTCTTTAGAAATGGGATTTAATTTTCTTGGGAAAAATAGGAGTCTAAATTGCAAAGTCCATTTATTAACTACTTTGCAGATCTTCTGAAAACTGTCTTTTCTCTTGAATTCACTTTATTTCACAGCCAGCTAAACATGTATACATGGATAGTTTAACACACAGACTTTTCACTGAAATTCCTTAGAAGTATTTTTAAAATTTCAAGTAATTTCTAAGGAAAAGGAAATGGGTAGAAATTAAGATTCACTTAGGAAGGAAACACTGATACTACTTTAGAAGGCAACCTTTTGGAACTGGATCAAGTGATAACAGACAGAGAGAAGAGAGAAATGGAGTATGATGCAGTTTTGACACTGATGCTAATTTTGAATTTAATTATGTATCATATAACAGTACTGTTTCAGAGGATTCAATTTGTCTGTCTGACATAAAAGCATTTATTGAGTGCTTGTACTTTATAGACATTATATACTCACTTTAGATGGATTTTCTCATTTAATCCTGATGTACAAATTTGACAAACCTCTAGGAAGACTGACAAAGAGTAAGAGAGAAGACATGAATTACCAATGACATGACTGAAACAGGGGGTATCACTACAGACCCTGCAGACATCAAAAGGATAATAAGGAAAAGGGCAAGATTTTCCCAAAAGCAAAGATGAATATAGTTTTACATTTTAGGAGGGGAGTAATGGGGAAACTGGATGAATGGAAAGGGGGAACCCAGGGTGGAAATGGGGAGAGTGCTGACACATTGCAAGGATTGCAACTAATGTCACAGAATAATTTGTATATGAATTATTGAATGGAAAACTAATTTGGTGTGTAAACCTTCACGTAAAGCACAATAAAGTGTTCAAAAAAAAAATTACCAGTTATACAAAGAAGCAGGAAAATGCAATGCATTATAAGGAGAAAAATCAATCTATCAAAACTGACCCAGAATTTATGTAGCTGTTAGAATTAACAGACAAGGATATTAAATTAGTTATTATGACTATATTCTATATATTCCAAAAGTTAAGTAGAGACATGGAAGATTAAAAGAAAAAGATCAAAATCAAACTTCTAGAGATGAAAGCTACATGTCTCAAGATAAAAAATAAACTGGATGGGATTAATGGAAGAATTAGTCATTAGACATTGCAGAAGAAAAGATTAATAAACTTGAACACAAAGCAGTAGAAACTTTTTTAAAAAAACGCAAAGAGAAAAAATAATTTTACTTCAAGGGATTGATACATGTGTAATTAGCATCCTCAAGAAGAGGAGAGAGTACAGGAGACAGAAATAATATTTGAAGAAATAATGACTAAAAAATTTCCAAATTTGATGAAAACTACGAATTCACAGATCCAAGAGCCCAGCAAATCCCAAGCAAAAGAAATATGAAAAAACTACACAAGACACATCATAATCGAATTGTGATAAAAATTTGATACCAGTGATTTAAAAAAAAAAAAAAATCTTCAAAGCAGGCAGAGAAAAAGATATGTTAAATACAGAGGAACAAAGACATCATATTTCTCACTGGAAACAATGCAAGTAGAAGCACCATCTTTAAAGTACTGAAAGGAAAAACAAAGTAAAAACCTGTCAACCCAGAATTCTATTAAAAAAAAAAAAACTTTCAAAAATAAAAGTGAAAAAGGACATTTGAATTCAGACGTACAAAATCTGAAAAAAATTATCAACAACAAACTTGCAATATAAAGAATGTAAATAGAATTCCTTCAGGTAAACAGAAATAGGGGTCTACATAAAGGAATGAAGAGCACAAGAAATGGTAACTCATGGGCACATGTTGACCTCTTTGTGTGAATTTATCTTCTCTTCTTTTGCTGACCTACTCCCACCTGTCCTTCAAGACTCAGCTCAGATGATCACCACCTTTTCCCAAGCCCCTAGACCGGAATCTGTTCTCTCTCAAAGTTCTCGGTGATTACCCCTTACGTTTCATTTATCAGACAGTTTTATAATGGTCTGTTCTCTATCTAACTCCTCCAAGGATTTATGAGCTCCTTGAGGGCAGGGAAGGAGCCCTGGTGGAGCAGAGGTTAAAGAGCTTGGCTGCTAACCGATGGGTCGGCGGTTTGAACCCATCAGCTGCTCCATGGGAGAATGACGTGGCAGGCTTGCTTCTGTAGAGATTTATAGCCTTGGAAACCCTATGGGGCAGTTCTACTGTGTGCTATAGGGTCGCTATGAGTTGGAATCGACTCGATGGCAGTGGGTTTGGTTTGGTTTTGAGGACAGGGACTGTGTGCTGGTAACTGGCCCATAATCAATGATTAACACATGCTTATTGAGTGGATCAGTGTTCTGAATTAAGACATAGCAGTGGTGATAAGACAGAAGGGGCTCTGTCTAGAGACACTTCTGAGGAAAAACCAATAAGACTTCTCACTGGTGACCGAGGGTAGTATAGTCCAGTCAGTGTTGCTCGAAATTTAGTTATTTATTGGTTCCTTTTCACCATAGCCAAATCCAACCTATATTATTTACTTAATACTATTGTTTAAATTGATACATAATTTTTTGCATAAATAAATGCATTTTAAAAAGAAATAGAAGATAATAAGGAATTACTACAAACAAGTCTACACAAACAAATTTGACAACTTAGATGAAATCCATCACTTCCTCAAAAAAAAAAAAAAAAACCCACAAACTATCACAACTCTCCCAATGGGAAATATGTAATTTAATAGCCCTGTAAACTATTAAGGAAATTGAATTTGTAATTTAAAAAGTCCCTCAAAACAAGTCTCCAGACTCAGATGGTATCACTGTAGAATTCTACCAAACTTTTCAAGAAGAATGAACGCCAATTGTGCACAATATCTTCCAGAAAGTAGAAGGAGAGGGAGCAGTTTTCAATTCATTTTATGAAGTTAGTATTACCCTGATACCAATACCAGACAAAGAACAAAAATAAAAAACTATAAACCAATATAGTATGTGAATATAGATGCAAAAATCCTTAACAAAATACTAGTAAGTAGAATTTAGTAATACATAAAAAGAATTATACACCACGATCAAGTGGGGTTATTTCAGGGATGTAGGCTTCATTCAATATTCAAAAAATATTCAAGTAAACCACCATATTAAGAACTCTGATATTGATGAAGAATATTGAATATACTGTGGACTGCCAGAAAAATGATAAATCAGTTTTAGAAGAAATACAACCAGCATGCTTCTTAGAAGCAAGGATGGTGAGACTTCAGCTTCCTTACTTTGGGCACATCATCAGGGAAGACCAATCGCTAGAAAAGGACATCATGTTTGCTAAAGCAGAGGATCAACGAAAATGAAGGAAACCCTCAATGAGGTGAACTGACACAATAGCCAAAACAATGAACTCAAACATAGAAATGATTATGAAGATGGTGCAGGACTGGATAACATTTTGTTCTGTTATCCATAAGGTTGCTTTGAGTCAGAGCCAACTCAATAGCAACTAACAAGAACAAAGAAGAAAACCCACTTAATCATATCAACTCATGTAGAAAAAAAATTAGATAAAATTCAACACCTATTCATAATAAAAACTCTCAGAAAACTAGGAATAGAGGAGAACTTCCTCAACTTGATAAAGAACATATCCAAAAACCTACAGCTAACATGACACGTAATGTGAAAGACTGAATGCTTTCCCCTTAAAATTAGGAACAAGGCAAGGCTGTCCACTCTAATCACTTTTACTGAATATAATGCTGGAAGTTTTAGCCAGTAAAATAAGTCAAGAAAAGGAAATCAAAGGCATATAGATCAGAAAGGAAGAAATAAACCTGTCCATATTTGCTGATGGCATGATTGTTTACATAGAAAATTCCAAAGAATCTACAAAATAATCTCTCTTAGAACTAAGTGAGTTCATCAAGATCACAGAATAAGAGATAAACATATAAAATTCAATTGTGTCTGTATATAATAGCAATGAATATATGGACACTGTCTTAGGCTGGGTTCTCTAGAGAAGTGAAATCAGTGAAGTGTGTAAATGCAGCCTTAGTTCTTAATCACTGCGCCATGAGGGCTCCATATATACAAAAGCTGGTAAGTCCCAAGTCGGGGTCAGGCATCAGGCATCATGCTGGGGCTTCTCCTGACTCATGTAGCTGCAGGGGCTGACCCTAGATCTACAGGTTAGACCGCAGGCTGTGAAGGCTGACGAATCCAAGATCAGCAGGTAATATGGCAGGTGGCCAGCTGAAGTCTCAAGAATTGGAGGTCAAATGCTGATGAGCCAAATGCAAGCTCCAGAGCAGAGCAAAAGCCAGTGAGCTTTGCCAGAAAGTCCACACCCCCAAGGAAACTTCCTTTCAACTGATTGGCTAGTCACAGTGGGTCTCATCATGGAGGTGATCACACTATATCAGATTTCATTATGGAGGTGATTACGTCATTATGTGATGCCAAAGTACATCATAACTGCAAAACCACTGAGAATCATGGCCCAACCAAGTTGACACACAACTTTAACAATCACAGACACCAAAATTAAAAATATGGTACAATTTATAAATAGCTAAAAAAAAATGAAATACTTAGGTTCAAACTAATAAAACATGTGCAGGACTTGTTGAATACTGAATACTATGCTGAATACTACTTAATGCTGATGAGAGAAATCAAAGAATAGCTAAGTACATGGAGAGACATATCATGTTCATGGATTGGAAGAGTCAACATAGTAAAGATGTCAATTCTTCCTAAACTGGTATACAGGTTTAACACAATTCCTATCAGAATCCCTGCAAGATTTTTTGTGGATTTAGAAAAGATTATTCTAATATTATATGGAAAAAGCAAACGAACTAGAATAGCTAAAACAATTAAAAAAGTATAAAGTGGAAGGAATCAGTCTATTTCAAGATTTCTATAGCTACAGTGATTACGATTGTAGTGTTGGTGGAGGATAGGTCCATAGATCAATGTAACAGAACAGAATAACCAGAAATAGACTTACACAAATTTGCCCAACTGATTTTTGACAAAAATGGCACAAGGAATTCAATGGAGGAAAGATAGCCTTTCCAACACATGGTACTGGAGCAATTGGATATCCATAGGCAAGAAAGGAACTTCATCCTATCTCACACCTTATACAAAAATTGACTCCTGTTTCTATCTCAGTGTTAGCTTTAGCTGTCATGTGATCTATATAAACCACTTCATAACAAGATATGAATGATAACCAGATTAATAAGTTATTTCCCTTATCAAAGAGGATACTTGTTAGCTGAATTAAGTATTTCAACAACACTGGAATTTCAGGCTGTATTAGGTCAGTTAGAGGTATATCTGTGATTTTTCTGGCATCCCTCAGTTTATACCACTAAGGTCATACTTGCTACTCAACTTAGCCAGCCCTGTATGTGCCTAGATCTCAGGGCTCATTTCATGTGAGTAACTGGAAACTGAAAAAGGATTTCCTATTTGAAGTCTATTCTACTTTAGAAAATTAGTAAGTCCAAGCAGGTGAGTTTTTAACATTCTTTAAAGATTTCATTATCAAAATGCAAGACTCACAGAGTTCTGAAACTTTGGACTGTTGAACTAGAAATTCTTTTCTTTAGGTTCTGGCAGGTTAAACTCTGATCTAGTCTACCACGTGGGAATTCGAATTTTAATGGTGTAACCATAGCTTCTGCTTTATGGCATTTGTTTCTGTTCTGGTCTCTCTGCTCTGGCATTATTGTTTCCTTGGAACTACTCGAGAACATAGAAAGAACCTGGCACATCCTTTCATCCATTTGAAGGATCGTCACTGGCTATTTGAGGGCAGAATGTCAAACCAGGGCTTCAAACCAGTTCGTTCTGGTTCAAACCCCTGCTGAGAATTTGCGTTTCCACCCAGATATACTGAATCAGAATCTACATTTTTAAAAAGATCCCCAGGTGATTCTTATGTATAATAAATTTTGAGAACCACTGTTCTACAAGTGGTTCACAGAATTGGTCCCTAACTAGCAACATTAGCAATTGCCTGGGAACTTGTTAGAGATGCAAATTCTCAGCAGAGGTTTGAACTGGAACTAACCAGTTCAAAGCCCTGTATCAAATGGATCAAACCCCAAACTTTTTGCTTCTTTGACCATCCTACTTAAATCTGATTAGAAAAGCCTTTCAGCTCCCTGGATTTTTTTGTCCCTGACGTATGGTAGATACTCAATACCTCTGTAATGAATTAAAAATTATCCCTCTCCTAGTTTTCACATTGTTTTGAAACTACAAACTAAAATAGAGACATTACACCAAAAAGGATATGACAAATGATGAAAATAATTCTTAAGTTTATTAAGACACTTAGTGTTAAGGGAGAGTATGACACGTCACTGAAGTCATTAACCAGGCATCTTAAAAAATATTTTTAAAGTATCAACAAGTTCTGTGTATGATTGTTCTTCCCGTTTTGGTTTCCACACTGGAAGGGGGAAGTGAGATATTGAAGAGAATCCTGAGGAAGCAACCCAAAATGATAAGCTGTAGTGAATGACCTGATGTATAGAGTAAGGTTCAAAAATAGGGCTGTCTAGCTTAGTTGGTGTGACTCACTGTTTTAATTATTTAAAAATTTTGTTGAAATGGACAGACATCTTGGTTATTTCACCTCCACATCACTTATCTAACTCTTATCCATCAAGCCCAGCTCAATTTCTGCCTCATCTATGAAGTTCTGCCTCCTAGATTTTGATTGAGATTACTTTTTAACAAACTTTAATTATACATGCTACTTTCCTGCAGAAAGCTATTTCACCAATTCCTTAAGTTGAGTTCATAATTTCCTGACAACACTGTGAAACTTATGTATGGAAGGTTAGATTGAATGCCCTCTCAGGTACCTGCTTCTCAGTTCCCCAAACTCCATTATTTCATGATTTGACATGTGATTCCATCTAGTGATACTTGCTTTTTCACTACCAGTTGTTTCCCTCAAGAGGACAGTAATCCTCTTGGGGCAGCATTGAGTATCAAGGGGTGACTATAGTATGTATTCAGTTAATATTTGTTGACTGAATGAACCCACTTCTAAACATTTACATAAAAGGTAGAACTCTGACAGATTATCTTAAGATACAGCAGAAGAGAATTAGGTTGAACTCAGGCAGAAAACTGGGATGGCAAGCCCTTAAACAGAACATGTGAGTGATGGTCATAGAATCTTCACTGCTGGCCATTTCATGACTAACAGAGAGCCATCTGTCCAATGTATGTGTGGTTCTGCCTAGAAGGAGATGACCACCTCACTATGACCTGTTGAGCTCCCATTTGGTTCTATGATTCTAGACTGACAGGATTCTTGGCTTGTTTCTCCAAGAGGAAGAAAGCTGTTATACTTTTCCCATTTAAATTTCAGATACTATGAAATTAGCCATGACCATTTTTTTTCTAGTAAAACTCCTACATGGATAGTAGACGATAGTAGATGCTGGAGTGATACTGGCCTTCTTTATTTGGCAAGTGTGTTCCCATTCCTAATGTGTTTTGTAACTCATGCGTGACATCTGAGTAGGTTTCAATGAAATCGTATTTATTATGTCCTCTGTTCTTTCAAATAGCAAAACAGATTACTGTGTTGTTATACAGATGTGCTGTGGGTGAAATGCCAACTCTTAGGGGCCCAGGAAGCCTAGCCTACCTTCCTGAGAACGTGAGAAGTATGAATGATATTTAAAGGGAATTTCTTGAATCTCTTGGGTTGGGTTTGCGTGTGCTGCACCCACCTGCTTGCTCTGTGTATGTAAGATGCTGCTGGGCTTTACCGTATAAAAATTAATGTCTTGTCATTTATTTTCACAGGGAAACGAATCTGAAAGTCCGCCATGCGTTATCAGTTACTAAAGAGCTTGGAGCAGATATCAGCAGGCTTGCAGAGTTTGATGGTGAGTGGTCAAAACAGACAAACAAAAATCTGAAAACCTAAAAGCAATGTAACAAACTAATCATCTGAGATCCAATTTATGTTTCTTTTTGTTTGGTGGAAGGACATAAAATTCTCCAGACATCAAAGTTTGTAATCTCTTCTCACTCTGAAGAGTAAAATGTTTAATAGTGCTTATCAGTTCATGATTCATTTCACTCTTGTTTTCTCTTCTCTAGATGTCTTTAGCCCTCTAGTCCTACAATGCCCTTCCTTGCCTGACCTTGGCCTCCTGGAGACCTGTGCAGACTTGCTGAGGATCTCTAGCACTGGGTCTAACTATCCATCCAATCTCTGGCTCCATAACAAAGACTAAATTGCAAACTTCAAGAATCCTGTCTCAATATTTCTGCATCTTGCACAGGGCCTGGCATAATGTCTTGAAGACAATAGGTGTTCAGGAAAAATATTCTGACTTATTAATCATTTGGTCAGTTGTCCTTTATGTTAGAGCCTGGTTTTGTTATCACCATCTTCACACCCTTCAACCTAGTCCTCTGTTGCTCAGCGTGGTCTGTCTTGCCTCTTCTGTTCCAGCTGTCTTGTTCTTTTCTTGTAAAGCTACGCTTCTTAAGCATTCATGGAATGGCTTTTAGATATTGTCATTCCGGGGATATTTGCATTTTATGATTAAGAGACCACAGAAAAGCAGCATCTTTCAAAAGTCAAAGGAAACAGCCACTAATGGTAGGATTTTAAGCACTAGGATAGGCTGTGGGGAGAATCTTTGGGGCCTTCCTGCAAACCCTCAATGGTCTCTTGTTTTAGCCACGTATTAGTCTGGCCCTGAGTATCAAGATTCCCATACAGATTGGTTTTACTTACTAACGAATCTTTATGAGCTTGTGACTATCTTCCATAATGTTTTCTTCGGGGTTCACTCAAGGAAAATGAAGGCAGGGGTCTTAGCATGATCCCATGAGTTAAAGTAAGACAAATTTACATTTTAAAGTTTCTCAAATACACAGCTTAGAGCTTAAATTGCCTGTGCTTTGCATTTGTTGTAAACTCTTTTTGGATTCTGTTAATAGTTTAACCTCTCTTAAATGAGTGCTGTTACAACAAATGTTTATAGAAAAAATATTTTTCCAGAGTGAAATTTAAGTTAGGGGAATAGCCAGGAAACTTCGAATGGTCTAAGAAATATTTTGATTCAATTAAAACAAATTACACATTTTCTACTAAATAATTTTTCAATGAAATTTCACTGTTACATGAATCCAAGGAAAGTAAACTATGCTTATGAATCAAAATACTTGCTTAAAATACCTCATTGAATATTTATGGAGTCCTAAAACAGCAACCCAAATATAATTGACCATTATTCATTTCTTTCCTGACAGAATTGTATAAACTGTATCAATTCACAAGGAAGTATAAATTCATGATTTTTAGTGTTCTTTATCAGCAACAAGCAGAAAGTGATTGTTACAATTATTAAGTTCCCTTCCACAGATGTTGGCACAGATAGCCTAGACTATGATGCAGTTACAAACAATCTTGAGATCTTAGTGGCTTAAACACAGTAAGGGTTTATTTCTTGCCCATGTCACATTCTGATATGGGTTTGGTGGCCTTCTCTATCTTGTAGCTATGGAATATAGACTAGTGGCCTTGAAGGTCACCATAGCAGGGGAAGGGTGAGATGAAGAGGATATGTGACTTTTAACTGCATCTTTCTCCCACATTTCATTGGCCAGCACTAGTCACATGGCCCCAACCTAATTGCTAGGGAGGCTGGGAAAGGTGGTGTAGTGGTTAAGAGCTACAGCTGCTAGCCAAAAGGTCAGCAGTTGGAATCCACCAGGCACTCCTTGAAAACCATATGGGGCAGTTCTGCACTGTCCTATAGGGTCGCTATGGGTTGGAATCAACTCGAATGGCAGTGGGTTTGGTTTTTTGGTTTGGTATAATTGGCTTATTTCCTAAGTTTATTGTTTATTGTCCATCTCCATCCGTTGCAGTGTAAGCTACACAGGGGTCATTGTTTTGTTCACTGATATGTGCTAAGCTCCTAGAACAATGCCTAGCACATAATAGGTGTTCAATAAATACTTACTGAGGGAATGAATGGCTACAAGCGCCAGGGAGTAGGGGCAGGATTAGCATCAGGTCTCAGAAAGGCATGGGAGGGCAGAGGAAGAGTTGAATGGAGCATGACAATGGAGACAGGAGGAAGGTTTCTGATGGAGACTTGTTGGACAGGCAAGAGTGCTGGGTTTCTTCCTCCTTGAAGGCAGGTATCTGGGAGAGAGCTCACTGGTGTGATGGTTCTATAAAGTCTTTTACTTCAGAATTGGGCTGGGGACCATGGTCTGGGGGAAAATCTAGCTCAATTGGTATAACATAGTTTATAAAGAAAATGTTCTACATCTGACTGTGGTGAGTAGCGACCGCAGGCTAAAAAGCCTGTGAGTGGGGCCATCTAAGATACATCTACTGGTCCCATCCCGGCTGGAGCAAAGGAGAATGAAGAAGACCAAAGATACAAGGGAAAGAATAGTCCAAAGGACTAATGGACCACAATTACCACAACCTCCACCAGACTGAGCCCAGAACAACTAGATAGTACCTGGTTACCACCACTGACTTCTCTAGCAGGGATCACAATAGAGGGTCCCAGAGCAGGAAAAAAATGTAGAACAAAATTCACATTCGCAACAACAACAACAAAAAGACAAGGCTTGCTGGTCTGACAGAGACTGGAGAAAACCCAAGAATATAAGAGTATGGCCCCCAGACACCCTTCTAACTCAGTACTGAAGTCACTCCTGAGGTTCACCCTTCAGCCAGATTAGACAGGTATTTAAGGCCAACAATAACACAGGTGAGGGACGTGCTTTGTAGTTCAATCATGTATACAAGACTAATGGGCACACCAGCCCAAAAGCAAAGACGAGAAAGCACGAAGGGAAGGAAAACTGGACGAATGGAAACAGGGAAGCTGGGGTGGAGAAGGAGAGAGTGTTGACGCATCATAGCGTTGGCAACCAAAGTCACAAAAAAATTTGTGTTTTAACTGTTTAATGAGAAACTCATTTGCTCTGTAAACTTTCACCTAAATCACAATTTAAAAAAAAAAAAGAAAGAATCCTTTCTTCAAATGAAATTTAACATGGAAGTCCCAAATTTAAACTGATACAGGTGGTGCTATTCAAGCTGAAGCAGGGAAACATTTCCTCAAAGCACTGCCACTCATTTAAAGCAAGTCACTCATTTAAAAAGATAGGGTTACTGACATTTGGAGAGGTTGACGGACTTGCTCATATATAAAAATAGTCTTTTATAATACTTTATAGAATTTAATTTTAAAGTCAATTGATACTTACCATTTACTAGATATGACCTGAATTTACTTCACACAGGATAGGTAATTTACCAAATGCTCAACATAGAATCGTTTTTCCAAATAAAGGCAACACAGACCTCTCTTTTTATTATTTATCCTTCAACTTTGGTCAATTTTCAGAAAACACATAATGCCAAATTCATGAAGCTGGTACACTTCTGGACAGGTTTCTGCTTTTATTCTTAAATTATGAGTTTCAACCTGCTTGAAAGTTCAGGGCAACATAGCATTCTATGGGTTTAGCTTTGTTAAAATATGATTTCTTGTTTCCAAGAAGCACCTGAAAAATGAATAGATGGATTAAAGGGAAATAAATTAGACCAAAATCCTGTGGATTTCCTGTTAGCAGTCAAATTTAAAGACCAAGAGGATGACCCAAGATGTGGTATGGAATGGTCTTTGAAAGAGTTGGGATGTTTAATAAACCCTAAATCCTTTCCACTATGCCTCTTGCTCTCATGTAGCCTTTAATTTTTTCCCTATCCTTTTCTTTCCTAGTTCTAACTTCTCTCTCTGTCACGCCCTCACACATACCCATACACACATTCACACACTATCCACACGCATTTGTCTCGTTACTCCATTTCATCACTCTCCTCCTTCTGCATTCTTTCTCTTCTCTTTCCATCCTACCCTTCCACTATTCTTGTTAGTTTACTTATTTTCTTTACTTGTGGTGTCTCTTTTTATTCCTATCATCCTTTGTCTTTTCTGTCTTCATCAGTCTCTCCATACAAATTAGTTTATTAAGTCTATTTACTAAGCATCTCCTGAGGTTAAGGTGCAACATAATGTATGTAGGATTATAAAATATACCCACACTTACTCTCAACATTCTCTGGAGGCTTTTACTTCTCCACTCTTTTCCTATTCCCTCTTTTTTGTCTTCTTTATTCACCTTTGACATAATTGGGTATCAATAGATTTGAAGTTCTTCTCTAGTGACTAGAAAAACATTTCCTTGAGTCACAGTAATTGAAAGTTATTGTAGTTATTGTACTCTTTAGTTTAAATTAGAAGCATGATATAGTCATTGTGTGCATTTGGAAATGCTCCACCTAGCTGTGACAAGTGTAGATATAATAGATGAAGCTAATATGTGAGACACACTCCCCATGCTGTATCTTTGCGAAGTATTCCTTTTAGCTTGTGACTTCTGGGCAAGTCTGGGTACGGCATTATTTGTGCTTGTAGTTATCCTGTGGTTTTACTTCTTTTTTTTTTTAATTTTTCCCATACAAAAATTTATACATACATTGTTATGTGACTCTAATTGCTCACCCCATACTGTGACAGCACACTCCTTCTTTCCACCCCTGATTCCCCATGTCCATTCAACCAGATCCTAACCCTCTCTGCCTTCTCATCTCACCTCTGGGCCGAAGCTGCCTATTTAGTCTCTTGTATATACTTGAGCTAAGAGGCACACTCCTCACAAGTATCACATTATGTCCCACAGTCCAGTGCAATCCCTGTCTGAAGAGTTGGCCTTGGAAATTGTTTTAGTTCTGGGCTGATAGAGAATCCAGGGGCCATGCTTTCTGGGGTTCCTCCAGTCTCAGTCAGACCATTAAGTCTGGTCTTTGTACTAGAATTTGAGTTTTGCACCCCAC